GAAGAGCGTGGAGGACAATGCTACGTACGTGTCGCTCTTCATCGCGCTCGCAAGCGAAGGGACGGATGTTAGGGCGCTTTTTGAGCTGACCCTTTTAGATCAGAGTGGGAAGGAGAGGCACAAGGTGCATAGCCATTTCGAGAGGACCCTCGAGAGTGGACCCTACACGTTAAAATACCGTGGTAGCATGTGGTAAGCGTCGTTTTTCTTCTGAATTTTTGGAATTTGTTTTTTATTTGCTTGGCTTGGTTTTGATTGTGGTATGTTGCTCGGTATTGTGATTGTCTGAGGTAAATTGGAGAGTGCCTGATGGGATTTTACTTAGGTTGTGGATTTAAATGTGGTTTCAATTTTGTTGGAAACAAGGGATGAAGAGATAAAAAAGAGATGCTAATTTTGTGTTTTGAAAGGAAATGGGTTGTTTTTTTGCTGGGGGTACCGAATGGTGAGTGAGAGGGTTACTTTTTGGAAGATATATTTTTTTTTTAAACCGAGAGATCCATATGTTGGGCCTTTTTCTAACATATTCGGTGTTTTTGCCTTATAAAAACTAATAATAAACGATTTTTTGTTGGTTGGCTTAAAGCTTGAGCTTAAGTAGCCTGATCATGGGGCTGAGCTTGGTTTCTTTTGTTGTGTGTGCGTGTGTTTAGGGGGAGGGGTTATGTTGTTCAAGATGTATTTTTCAGATATTCCTGTCTTGTAAAAACGTCTTACTAGACTAAACTGAAGGTAGTTTTAATTCTTCAGATTACTTGTGGGTGGGGTGGGTTTAGAGTCCTCCACAGCTTAAAGGACATTAAGTGATCAAGCCCATCAAATCAGAGCAATAGAGGTGATAAGAGCTAGTTTTGACCATGGTTACCATAATTGCACAATTCGTGATATGATACTTTCGATATGATTCGAGCAGCTAGTGATATGAATTGGTGAGCAAATTATTTTGGTGCTTGAATCACACCATGAATGATGAATCTAATGAATCAGACATGAATTACAAGAATTGCGCCTTGGAGAAAAATCACATTGTTCTTACGTAGGTAGGTTCTGTGAGTTCCAGAAGGAGTTGCACCCTGCTGCCCTTCCAAGGGCTGTCGCAGCTGGAGTGGCGCTTTTCTCTGCCAAAATTGCAGAAAATGGCAGCCAGAGCGGTCAAGTCGTGCCGCACTACAGTTTTAACTTCTTTCTGCTCATGGGTATTGGGTCTTAGAAGAGAGATGATCCAATAAACGACAGTGTATTGTATTTGTTTTACTTTAGGCACTTTTGTGTTTTAGTTGTAAAATAGACCGAGTTTTGACCTGTCAGTTTTAATTTTGACTATTAATTAATGTGATATTTAAGTTTTGTCTGATATCAATTATCCAATAAAAATATTTAACTAATGTGATAATTGTTTATATTTCAATTACTATGTAATATATTTTTATCGTAAAATCTATTATAAAACATTGTAAAATCTGTATAGTTTTTCAAATATAAATATTTAATTAATATATTTAATAAATTCAATAGCGGAGTATTTATTATAAATTTTAATATTATTCTATTATAACAAATTTTAGCAGAATTTATGTATCTCGTGCTGCTAGAGTTATGTTTTTTAGCTATTAATCATGAATGTCTTTAATGTCTTTTTAATTGTATATGCTATGTTTTATTAATGAGCATTAATCTTACAATTCACGAGATTCGGAAAATGGGCTTATTCACAGTTTGAATCCCGATTCTACTACCATGAACTTTGACCATACGCAATCATTCATGGATGGTTAAACTCGAAACTAATCTCAATCATTTGTAAGATTAGATGGTCATAATTAGTTCTTTTCACATTCTATCAAGATTCCAAAAATCGGCCTCCCGCTGATTCACAATTTGGATTCCAATTCTACTACCCTGATCTTGACCACACAATCATACATGGATGGTTAAACTCAAAACTAGTCTCAATCATTTGTGTGAGATTAGAAGGTCAAAATTAGCTCTTTTCACATTCTCACTTGAACACCCACTGTACATGTATTTACATTGAATTAACTGTTCTCTCCCTCCCCCCCTCTCAATCATGTATTTTTGAATATATAGAGTTGTTAACATATATTTTGGCTTAATATAATAATCCTTCATAAGCACTTGAATTTTTGTGTGGCAAAAGATGAACAGTTTGGTCAAGAAGCTAATTGTTTGAAATTGGGTGTTTCAGGGGTTACAAGCGGTTTTTTAAGAGAACAGCACTAGAGACATCAGATTACCTTAAAGATGATTGTCTTAGTGTTAATTGTAGTGTTGGTGTTGTGAAGTCACACACAGAGGGCCCTAAAATATATGAGATCCCAATTCCGCATTCTAACATTGGTAAGCAATTTGGGAAGCTACTAGAAAGTGGGAAAGACAGTGATGTGAGTTTTGAAGTGAATGGAGAAATTTTTGCTGCTCATAAATTGGTTCTAGCAGCTCGCTCACCTGTTTTCAGGGCCCAACTTTTTGGTCCTATGAAAGACCAGAATACCCAATGTATAAAAGTTGAAGACATAGAGGCTCCAGTTTTCAAGGTTTGAATGTTCTTTGTGCTTTTGTGTTTTTTATTTTTTATTTTTTATATTTATGCTTGTGATGTGGTTGGTTGCAAAATACATATTGTTTACTCTCTTTGTCCATGCCCTGATATACTCATTGTACATCATGACTTTTAAGTTTCCTTTTCCCTTATTACCATTGTTATGCATATTGTTAAATGTGTTTGCAAAAAATGTTTTAAGTGATTCTTATGCTCCACGTATCTTATGTTGTATTTCTCTAATGAAAAACAAATACCTTTCATTTATTATTTATTGATTATTATTAGAAAAGTACACATTTTTTTTAAAATTATCATGGTGCCCCTGCCATTTGGAATATTGACTCTGTTGGATACTGCTGAAAAAAGCATGAAGGTTTATTCAAATATAATATTGTTCCGGCCAAAGGGTGAGCTAGAGTTTCTTCCTAGGTTAAGCCTCAGAGCCAGAGCATTCAAAAGTGTAATCTGCCTTCTTAGCTCTAGGATTTTAGGTTTTATACTTTTTCGTTGCTGGGCCTCCTGGGCCCCGTGAGCGTAGGGATTCCGCCACCATTAATACTTGAGGGATATTTGATGATTAAAGATGGGATCTTATCTTTAATTTTGGTCTTTATCACATATGAGGGGGTCCGGGTCGGAATCCGGCCGAGACGAGATTACAATGAGGGAGACCAGGTCAGATATTGACCGAGCTCCCTCTTCGAGGGACCGGGTCGGACATAGGCTGAGCTCCCCTTACAAGGAGACCAGGTCGAGCACAGGCCGAGCTCCCCTTTACCAGGTAGAGAGGTCGGAATCTGACCGGGTATCCTCAGCCGAGAAGTCACACTAGCTAATATTGGGTCCCCCCCCCTACCAGGGGTGGGTTGGCTTATACCCGGGACGGTACAAATATAATATTAAAAAATTGAAAAGGATATCATAGAACCTAAAATATATTCTGATAGTGGGAAGTTATACCACTTCTGTTTCATAACTTTTTTTTTTTTGTCCTTTACCTTCATTTATGCCACAGAAGAATTGATACATATATAGGTGTTTTTTTTGGATGGTATTCCACTGAAGCAAGACATTGACCAGAATCATGACCTTTTTGAAAGAACCCATATAATAGTTGATAGAAACTGAGGCTAGTTCTTTATAAATTGACTGTAGTTGTGAGTTCCTTTCTTGTTTTTGTTCCTTATTGGTTGGTTCCTCTTTGGCAAGTTGTGCAGTTGGTTGTGTATATAATTAGTACTGTAATAGAAATACAGTAATGGTATTTTCATTTTTTTTTGCTCTAGAATGGGAAATTCACATGGCTGTTTGGTTATGGAAAGAACTTGTTCAATTCTTTCAATTGGGAACTTATTCTTGCAAATATATTTTATAGAACCAGTTCCATTTTTCTAGGTGCTAAAATGTTGTCAACTTGATAATGATCTGTGGTTAATAAACATGATAGGATATCTTGCATAATATATTGTGTGAGATTCATTTATTATGCAGAAAATTGATAAGAAATAACAATAGCAGGTGATAGCTTTTCTTTGTTATCCTTGTTGCAATATACTGATATTATTAATAAATATTGAAATATGTTGAATCCTGTGAAATGCAATAGGGATACACCAGGTAATTATTTATTTATATGTACAAACATACACACTTTTTTTTATTAAATTTTGTGTTTGGTTTCTTGAGCCCCTGATGACTCCATATACTTCACGTACAATTATTACATGCTGCATTTATGCGTGATTAGATTGTGGTATTATTTAATGTTGAAAAGTAGCCTTAATTGTGGTTACCCCTTAGGCTGGAATGGATGGCTACATACGAAGGGGATGACCAAAAAGGCTGAGTTAAGAATCATATAGTGTAGCCACAAGATACGACTCTTGGGTGGATTTAGTCCCACATTAGAGCAATCCTCATTTTACAAGTTGTTTTTGTGGGCTTAAGTCCTAAGCACAATTTTTAAGATTTAACTTGACAAATGAAGCTTAACATTATGCTATTATACCAAAAGAATTGCAACTTGTCTGCTTTGTTATACCATATTTCTCTATTTTGCAGGCATTGCTCCATGTTATATACTGGGATTCACTGCCTGACATGCAAGAGCTTACTGGGTTAAGCTCAAAATGGGCTACTACCTTGATGGCTCAGCATCTGCTAGCAGCAGCTGATCGGTATGGGTTAGAGAGACTTAGGCTGATGTGTGAAGCAAGTCTATGTGAAGATGTTGCAATAAACACTGTTGCTACGACTCTAGCCTTGGCAGAGCAACACCATTGTTTCCAACTGAAAGCAGTCTGTCTGAAATTCGTTGCAAGGCCTGAAAATCTCAGAGGTGTGTTTTTGTCTTATGATTTTTTTTAATAACACAGCAAAGGAAAAAAAATGCAATATTATTAGGCGGTCATTGGGACATTGAAAGGTCTTAAAGTTAGCATGTGAAATTGAAAGTTAAATTTGTTGCTGACATTAGGGGTGTTTTTTATTCAATTTTTAAACAAAGTCTTCCAAACCAAAAATAAACATAATGTGGTTCAAACATCAAACCAAACCAAAGTAGTCTTTTGTTGTTTGGTTTGATTTGTTTTGGAGGTTTTTTTTTTAACTTTTAATTTATTTTTACATGACTTTCAATGTTGTTTTTAATATGACAACTAGCAAATTATAGCAAAATTTAATTAGCAATCAAGTTATGATCATCCCTTCAAAGTGACATTTGCATAACCAAAAGCAATAGAGTAGTAATATGTATACCAAAACATATTATAGACATAAAAATGTATTATAGACAATTCAGAGTGTGTTGAGAAAAACTGTGAAAATTATATTATTTTGAATGAGATTTTGTTTGGTAAAGTTTGCTGAAAAGCAATTTTAAGATGTTTAAATTTGCTTGGATACATAAAAAAAAAATAGTTTTTATGGTGGTAAATCATTTTAAAAGGAAAAGTTGTTGAGAAATAATCATGAACTTCGAATTTCAGCTTCATAAAAATAACTTATTTTTCAGAAAAACTCTTTACAAATTTAAGTGGTAGCCTCAAGCATTAAGTTTTTTTTTGCAAACAGTTTTTTTTTTCCTCACAGAAACAGCTGAAATGCAAACAGTTCTGTATCTTTCTCAAACACACTCTTATAGTCATGTCTTAAACTCAACCAATATATACGAGGCACATGAAATCACTTACTATCATTATTAAAAGTTCAAAATACTACCACATAATGCTATGAATCTATTAAGTATTAATGATGCAGCTTGGTTTTAATATCAATAACTAGAAACTAAAAATTTAATAAGCAATTTAGTTACGATCAGTCCTTAAAAATTACATTTACATAACCAAAAGCAATAGGGTAATAAAAGAGTACATGATTCATAGTCAGCCAGGCATGTATATTATCAATGTCTTAAACTCAACCGAAATATACACAACTCATGAAATCACATACTATCATTATTAAAAGTTCAAAATACTAGAAATCTATGCAAGTATTAAAGATGTGGTTTGGTTTGGTTTTAATAATAAGAACTAAAATCTATACCAAACTGCCATAAAAAATACAGTTTTTTTTTTTCCTTTTCAATTTGGTGGTTTAAAATGGATTTAGTTCAGTTTTAAAATACTCCTAGCTAACAGTTCTACTACTTTACCTATATAGTGACCGATTTGATGAGAAAGAGTTATACTTCTTTATTAAAAAAAAAAATACTCCTAGCTAACAGTTATGCTTGTCACTCACTCATGTTCAGTTTGAAGCAAGAAAGATACCATAAGTTATGAAGGAGTCATTTGTTGTTGCTTTAATGATATTTTAAAAAAAACTAATCACCTAATTTATTCTAGCAAATACTATCCTATGAAAAAAAATTGTTTTTTTCCTCATCCAGAACTATAATTATTGACTGAAGTATGTCGTGGCTTTTGTTTCTTCAGCTGTGATGCAAACTGATGGTTTTGAGTACTTGAAGGAAAGTTGCCCATCTGTTTTGACTGAGCTTTTGGAGTATGTGGCTAGATTTACTGAGCATTCGGACTACTTATGCAAGCACAGGAATGAAGCAGTACTTGATGGCAGCGACACAAATGGAAGGCGGGTGAAGCAAAGGCTATAGTGCGAACACTGACAAGTTCTCTGTACAACCCTCTGCCCGTCGCATTTAAAAATTTCATTGAGAGCATAAAACGAGGGAGATGATAAGCATTTTATAGGATTAGAGGCAATTTTTAATTTTCTTAGCTTCATGTCTAGGAGATGTAAATGTAGTTTGGTCTTGGTGCTATTGCAGGCCTGCCTGTAGGTTTCTGTAAGAACTTTGTTCGTAAAACATTTGTCCTAAAAGAAAGTATTGATCACTGATGTCCGGTTTTTGGTCCCTTTCTTTACCTTTTGATTTATGTTTTGGTATACATATTCCCGGAAGATAAGAGGTGATTCTTCCAAAACACACACACACACACACACAATATATATA